AGTGTGCCACCATGTGTAGCTGGAGCTAGAGGAGTGTGCCACCATGTCAGAATGAATCATTTTCTTATTAAAGTTTACATCCATAATGCACAAGGTTTACATTAAAATAGATAGGCTTCTTTTTCTTGAAATTTTATTTTTTTATGTTTGTCTGCTATTACAGCTTTCCTCTTCTATGTTGTTAGTAGCTGGCTATCTTTATTACTACTTTGCACTAGATCTTTCTTGACATAAATGTAAGGAACACTCTTACTTTACTAGCAACTACATTTTTTTAAATTGCAGATTATGTGTTCAGGCTTTTTCAGAGTAGTTGGGTAACTCTGGACCTTTCACACTTTTTACACTTTGGAGTCTCTCAGACATCATATTTACACTTGCTTATACATTATCCTTAACTTACTTCCTCCTGTTTTGTATATGTGTGTCTTGTCTTTCCTGGCAGTAGCTTTATCAAAGTAACAAGAGCTACATCGTGTTACTTTGAAAATGTCTGTGTATATTGGTGATGCCTAGAGGATCTGTTGTTCCTTTTCCCCCTAATATAAGGGGGAAGTCAAGTGCCAGAGTCGACTTCTCACTTTGTAAATGAGAGAAGTGACAGACAAGATGTATGAAGGTGGCGGAGTGTACTTTGAGGTTCCTAATAGATCGCCACATAAATTTGAAGTATGAGAAATAGAATTTAAAAAGAATGAGAATTTTATTAAATTAGTTTTTAATTAAAATGTGATTTTTCTGGTGTATTTTATTTTAGGACTCGCTGATTCTTGAGAAGAGCCAAAACTGGAGTTCCCAAAAAATGGACCACATTCTGATTTGCTGTGTTTGTCTGGGAGATAACAGTGAAGACGCAGATGAAATAATTCAGTGTGACAATTGTGGCATTACCGTTCATGAAGGTAATCTTGCTGTTTTTCTTCTGTTAGAAATGGCAGGTTTACATCTTGTTTAAAGGAAGTTTGAGCTTTTTTCATTTATGCTTGTATAAGGTTTTACTGTACTATTAAATGATGTGATGGTTCAAATGAAAATAATTTATGAGTCCTGAAATATGTTTATTTTTGTGTGTATGTGTCATATATGCATATGTGTGTATGTGTATGCACATATGCACTTTCATGCACGTTTGTCTGTTCATGTGTGTGTAGAAGACAGAAGTTGATGCTGAATATCTTAGGTTTTGAGACAGGGTCTCTTATTGAACCTGATACTTGCTTATTCCACTAACTGTCTGTCAGTTGAGTCCCAGGGACCTGTCTGTCTTTGCCCATCCGTGGGGGCAATACAGGCATGCACCACAAAGCCCAGAAAACATTTGATACACAAGAGTCATCACTCATCTTTATTTTATTTTGTTTTGTGTTTGTGTTTGAGTCAGGATCTTAAGTAGCCCAGGCTGTCACTGGTCTTGCTAAACAGTGGAGAGGATGACCTTGACCTGAGGCTCCTGCCTTTGCCTCGCCTCCTAAGTACCAGGATCACAGACTTGGTACTCCACACTCTGCCTAATGGGCAAGAGGGTAATCTTCATTTCTTAAATTACTCTTGAGCCATATTTTAGGTTAGGTCATTTGACCGTGGATATAGTTTTTTAAGACCATGACAATAGTTTAAGAAATTGAATTGATTTCTGACATTCTGATGCTAATAAAAATTATTGTGTAATTTTAAAAACATTTTAATGTTGCCATTATCATTGGCTTTTTTGAGACAGAATCTTTCTTTTTCCATTCAAAAATTTATACGCCCTCCCCTCCTATTCCCCTCCCACTCCCCATGCTCCCCAACTCATCCTCCCCCTTCCCTCTCCCTCCTTAAGAGAGGGCAGGAATCCTTCCCTGTGGGAAGTCCAAGGCCCTCCCCCGCTACATCCAGGCCTAGGAAGCTTTGCATCCATATAGACTAGGGTCCCAAAAAGCCAGTACATGCTGAAGAAACAAGTCCCAGTGCCTTTATCAATGGCTTCTCAGTCAGCCCCAATTGTCAGCCACATTCAGAGAGTTCGGTTTGATCGCATGCTCATTCTGTCCTGGTTCAGCTGGATTTGGCGAGCTCCTATTAGAACAGGCACACTGTCTCAGTGGGTGGACCAACCCCTCGCAGTCCAGACTTTCTTGCTCATCTTCTCCCTCCTTCTGCTCTTCAACTGGACCTTGGGGGCTAAGTTCCTTGCTCTGATGAGGGACTTTTTCTCTATCTCCATCCATCGCCGGATGAAGATCCTATGGTGATATTCGAGATAATCATCAGTGTGATAGTGGGACAGTCCAGTTCAGGCACCCTCTGTTCTACTTCCCAAGGACCTAACTGGGGACATCCCCGTGGACACCTGGGAACCCCTCTAGAATCAAGTCTCTTGCCAACCCTACAGTGGCTCCCTTAATGTAGCTATCTTCTTCCCTGCTCCTATATCTGCCCTTCCTCCATCTCCACCCTCCCACTCCCCCAAGCTCTCTCCAGTCTTTCCCTTCTCCCTTCCCTCTCCTCCCCTCCTCTTCATCTAACCCCTCCACCCCTACCCCCACCCCCATGCTGCCAACTTTTGCCAGGCAATCTTGTTTGCTTCCAATTTCCAAGAGGATCTGTATATGTTTTTCTTTGGGTTCACCTTGTTATTTGGCTTATCTAGGCTTGTGAACTATAGGCTTAATGTTCTTTGTTTATGGCTAGAATCCACTTATGAGTGAGTACATACCATATTCATCTTTTTGGGTCTGGGTTATCTCACTCAGGATAGTGTTTTCTATTTCCATCCATTTGCATGCAAAATTCAAGAAGTCATTGTTTTTAGCTCTGAGTAGTACTCTAATGCGTATATATTCCACACTTTCTTTATCCATTCTTCCATTGAGGGGCACCTAGGTTGTTTCCAGGTTCTGGCTATTACAAATAGTGCTACCATGAACATAGTTGAACAAATGCTTTTGTAGTATAATTGGGCATCTCTTGAGTATATTCCCAAGAGTGGTATTGCTGGATCCTGGATTGCTGAGTCCTGCTGACATCTTTAAGGTTAATTAAAGGTTCATAATATGATCTATGTTTTAGATGAGTGGCCTCATTAAAAACAAATGTACCTTTCTAAGGTAGCCTTGAATTTTAGAAACAACTAAAATGCCAGTCTGCATCAAGACAGATAAATTAGATGATCACAATAAGTAGCAATGCCATACCTATAGTGAGGAAGTCAGTTGCTACTGGAGCTGTGCTTTATGCACAGTCAGGGGCAGACAATGAGGAATGCTTGTAACCATCCTATCTTCTCATTTTTAGTTAGTCCCAGTTCCCAGCCCATGGAATGTTACTTTCCACTGTTAGGGTACCTTGTGTCTTCCTACCTCACTTAGTTACTATAGGTACTCAAGGTGGTTGAGATCCTGTGTGGTTGGTATCAGTGTAACCCCTGCTCAGGTTCTTCCTAGTCACAGTCCTGTTTCCACAGATGGAAGAGGGGTACAAGAAAGCATTCAGTGCTCCTGAACTGGTGCTTGTAAGTGTTTCTGAGAGCTAGCTACTATTTGACTTGTAAAAGGAGGACTGTAGTTTCTTGAGTAAATCTTCATGTTTCAGAATTAATTAATTGGTACTATGTTTGAGCATCCTAATTGAACAATTTGAAATGCAATGTAATCTTTTTTCGTTATATTTTTTGTATTATTAACACTTATGACTTGTACAAATTAAGAATATTCACTGTGTTTTTCCAGGTATGCAGAAGTACTCATTGATTATGCCCATTTCTTCTGATTTCTGCCCTTTGGTACCCTCCTCAATTCCTGTAAATTCTTCTTCTATGTTCATTCTAACTTCTCTTAAGTTTCCACAAATGGTTAAGAGAACATGGTCTTTCTGTTTTTGGCTTATTTCATTAAATATAGTATCTTTCATTTCTATCACATTAAAAGACTTTTGTGACAGTTTTTTCATAGCTGAATAGTTCTCCATTATACAGATATATCATAGTTCTTTACTATTAATTTATTGGCAAGTATCTATACAAAGTATATAATAGGTATTGTGACTACTGCTGTAATAAACTTGGCATGCAAATAACTCTTGATGCTGACCTAATATTCTTTGGATGTATAGGTAGAAGGTGGGTAGCTGGATTATATAATAGGTCTTCTTACAACAATATAGAGTTGTTTCATTTTTTTCAATATCCCACTGGCTGTCTGGATTTTGCTTTGTAGACAGGCTGGCTTCAAATTTAGAGAAATCTGCTTGTCGCTACTACCCAAGTCTGAGATTAAAGGTGTGCAACACCACCAACTGACTTTATTTTATGTTTTTATAATTGCTATTTTAGCTGGCATAAGGTGATACCTTATTGTGGTATTTGTACTTTGCCATGGCTAGTAAAATAGATAGAACATTTCTTTCATATATTGATTGGCTATTTGTATTTCTTCTTTAGAGAAGTTTATAATTATGTCATTTTCCTATATGTTTTAGTTGGAAGTTGGATTACTTGGATTTTGACTGCTGATTTTTTTTTTATATTATGCTTTTATTAGACCTCTGTCAGATGAAAACATTTGGCAAATATCTTCTTCCTTTCTGTTGATTGTCTCTGTACTCTATTTTAATGTCTCTCTTTGTGTCAAGAACATTTTCCTTTGATGTAATACCATTTGTTAGTTTTTACTTTTGGAGGTGTTGGACTCAGTCTTAGTTATTTCTATGTTGCTTTGTAGAGGCACCATGTTCAAGGCAGCGTACAAATGAAAGCATTGAATTTGAGGCTCATGGTTCCTGAGGGTAGTAGAGTTCATAGCCATCATGACAGGAAGCATGGCAGCAAGCGGGCATGGCTCTGGAGCAGTGGTTGAGATCTTACATCTGATCCACAGGCACAAGGCAGGCATGGGGGAGAGAGGAAGAGAGTGTGCACTAACTGAGAATGGCTTGAACTTTTGATACCTCAGAGCCCACCCCCTGTGATCCACCTTCTTCAGCAAGGACATACTCTTCTAACAAGGCCACATCTGCTAATCCTTCCCAAACAGTTCCACTAACTGTGGTTCAAACATTCAGATATATGAGACTATGGGGGCTGTTCTCATTCTTATTCTCATAGACTCTTGTCCCGAAACAATCATTGTATCACTATCTTAAAGTGTTTCTTTATATTTTCCTCTACTAGTTTTTAGTTCTGGGTTTTTCTCTTATACTTTTGTTTTGAGCTGAGAAGTAGGAATCTGGTTTCAGTTTTCTACATGCATGTTTGTATCCTGTCTCCCAGCAACATTTATTAGAGATGCTCTTTTCCCCTATATTGTGTGCTATTGAAACATCAGAGAATTAGCTGAATGTAGTTGTATAGAGGGTTCTCTCATCTCTTCCTTCTGGATCTTTGTATCTGTTTGTAGGTCAGTCATGCTGTTCCCATAATTATGGCTCTCATATATATTTCAAAATCAGATATTGTGATGCCCCAGCCATAATCTTTAAACTTAAGGTTGCCTTGGCTATTTAGGGTCTTTTATATTTCCATATGAATCCTAGGATTTTTTTTTTTTGGTAATTCTGAAAAATATCATTAGAATTTGATGGGGGATTATATGGAATCTGTAGTTCACATTGGGTATGACATGCTATGATTTCTCCTTCTCAAAATTCACTACTGATATGTAGAAAAACTATTGCTGTCTGTGTTTTCATTCTATATCTTGGTTTTTTTTTAAATGAAGTTTCTTTATCTGTTGTAATAGTCATTGTTGATGTCTGTAGATACTTTTATATAGAGACATATTTTATATATCACATAGAACATAATTTTATTCTGTTTTTCTGTCTGTATAACTTTTCTGTTTCACACATAATTGTTCTTCCTAAAGATTGTAGCACTATGTGAATATAAGCAGTGTTTAGATTAGACACTTGTTTATTTCCGATC